GCCATTTTCTCACTAATTTTACCTCTGAAAACAGGTGATCCCCACGTCCTTCTTTAGCAAATATCTTGACTTGTATTCAAGGTAAATGAATATTTTTTCCATCTAAATAAAGACAAGTGAACAAGCTTTAAGATGAAACAAATAACTCTACATGCCCAAAAATTGACGAGAGTCTGATTCCACCACGCTGCCTCACAAATGAATCGAAATTAGAAAAAAAGTACCAATGCACAGTGTATCATCTACAAAACTTATCTTACCATAGTAGTATGTTAACTTAAACCAACACAACATGTGCACAACATTACACTAATCAGATAGCCTCATTATGATAGGACTGGGCAAGGTAGGAGAAAAGTTAAGGTGTTGAGATATTTTTCTTATACATCATCATCATCTTCATCTTCATCATCATCATCCACTGCCAGATCTGTGATGCACATCGGCGATCATGGTTCTCTCCATTCATCTTATACATCATCATCATTTTCCTCTTCATCATCATCATCCACTGCCAGATCTGTGATACACATCGGTGATCATGGTTCTCTCCATTCATTCCTTTTCTAGGTTGCACGTAAACAGCTATGTATCCCTGATTTCCCCCCGTTGCCCATTTAATTTTGTTTAGGTTTCCTAAGTAGATCGCTCTGGGTCTACCCCTGATTCAATCATTAAAAAAAAGTTCCTCCCGTGATCTCAACAGAACAATCGTTCTTCAAACGCCGTGGACGAAGCTGCAGAGCTGTTGGCAGATATCACGAAGGAAATACCAACTTCTGCTACGTCATCTCCCACCGAGACCGAGGCTAGCAACAATGGCGCCTCTTCTCCAAACGAAGGGAAACCACTTCCGCTATGGAAACAAATGCTGCGAGACATCGTTGGTCAATCCGACAGCTGGACTATCTTTACCAAATCTGTAAAGTCCAAGGATAGTTTGAGGTCATTCCTGGAAAAAGTCAAACAAGGGAAGGAATCGATTAACGATTCCAAATACCGGAATCCTAAAAATGGACAAAATCTGTTGCATTTCTTTCTCGACCAAAGAGATGGAGAAGCCGTATCGATGTTATTGGATGCAGTTGAAGATGAAGAATATTTCCTGTGTAGCTTTCAAGTTACATTCGGAAGGAATCAAGGAGAAAAGACGGCGCTGCATCAATTGTCGGAGTTTGGTGACGTTGACCTTCTGCGCCAGTATCTCTCCAAAATCTCCGACCAAGCTACCAAAGCCAAAATGCTCTACGATTCTGTTCCTGTCGGGGTCGAAGGTCAAAGGCCAAGGCTACTCCCGTGTTGCCACCTAGCGGCGTACAGGGGTCACGAGGCCGTGGTGAAGTACCTCGTGGAGGAGATGGCCGTGCCTGTTGATCACGTGAACGCCAGGAAAGACTCCGCCCTCATGTGGGCGGCACGGTTTGACCACGCCCCCACAGTACGTCGGCTCATTTCTCTTGGCGCCAACGTGAACCTGGTCAACGATAAAGGTCAGTTCAAATAAATTTGTTACATCACCGGTGTCAGTCCACTTGTCGGCCTACCACGATAAAGCGGTCTACCCTAGGGCATGGGCACAGTAATTTTATTGATTTTTGTACATCAGTACCACCCCCCCGCCCCCACTCCTTTTCATAACAAAATACAACCATTTAAAAAATGATAACAATACAGACTATGGCATCTTCAAACCTTATAAAAGCAGAGGAAACAATTTTTTGGGAGGGTATAGGTGATTGTAGTAGATTAGAAAACCGCCACCAAGAGGAACAAAAACATCACAGTAGACAGTCAAGTGGACTGACAACAATGAATCGTTGGTGTCAGTCAAAAACCTTTAATGCCCACTGCGTGACCTCCGAACAATTTTCGAGAGTTTTGTCAACTAAACATTTATTGCAGCTACAGTACCTTGATGTCCAAAGTTATGGCTAGGAAATATATTTTTTTATTCTAATGTTTCATTCTAAACTCGGTAGTTGTTGGATGGTGCTCCTTTCTCTCTCAACTCCCCCCTCC